TTTGTTAAATCCCCCAATCCTCAACCTTTCATCAGATATGTCACCTACTGTATTTTTCCTCCTCTCCGCGCAGAGTCTAGCACTTTGTTAAGGCAAATCACAGGGTCGTGTGTAAAACCATATCCTCACCTTTCAAACTCTACGTGGCGGCAGATCACTAAGCTCGTTGTCCTCGTTCAGGCCCTCTAGTCCGCCTGTCAGCCATCGACAATAATTAAAATCTACCGTAATCTGAATGACAAGCCATCTAGATCGCTGTTCTCCTTCTCTTAGCCAGATGATATCTTGTCGTGAATTTGACTATATTTGATATTGTTGACTAATATTCGTTAACTTATACTCATACCAGTTATAAAATATAGCCTAGAAGGGGACTCGACCGTGCGAACTCACATTTTTGCTTCCGTCGGCACTCCACGGTTTGCGCTTCAGGGCTATTCTACTTGTGTGTATTTTCATGTTGCTATCCCATTTGGCTAATCAAATTTTCAAATTAAACTAACCATTTAAATTGGGAAGTGGTGTAGTCAAAAGGCTGCGGGAAGGGATTGGATCACACATGTTCCGAATTCGCGTCTTGGGATCCACTAACTAAGCCGTGTGAATTCGTTAACATTCCTTCCATCTGGTAAAGTGGGCCTTTTTGCCTGAACGACTTTTCTGCCAAGACTGTCGGGCTGTTTTTATAGTAGATGACGAGAAAGCTGTCGTTTGTTACAACTCCAAAATGACTGACCATTAGTAAAAAAAGAACGGATCTTTTCTACGTAACAAAAAGCTAGATTTTTTAAAATCAGATTTTGTAATATATTCGCTGTTGTAAACACGATTTAATGTGCAGTCCTGTTTCTTCTTTATCCTCAGATTGGTGGTTTCATGTATGGCATTTCGCCGCCTGACAACAACCAGATCAAGGAGATCAGGTGCATCGTCATGCCGCCCCAGTGGGGTACCCACCAGACCGTTCATTTGCCCAACGGTCTGCCCAACGATGAGTACCTACGCGAGTTGGAGCCTCTGGGTTGGATTCATACCCAGCCGAATGAACTGCCGCAACTTTCGCCTCAGGTAAGTCTGCGCTGTCCGATTGATCCATCCGTAGTTTGAGCCGATTTACCTAAGTTGACGTAAGGCTGTTAAGCATCACCGGATTTTTTGAGACTTGATTTCCCTAAGTGCTTCTATGATAAGATTCCTACCGCAACCGTGATTTTAAAAAATGAGGTTTTTGATTCGTAACCGCCTTGGAGAATTTTAGACTAGGGTATTAAATGCTTAGGCGTGCGGTGTTGCCCCCGCTTTTGGCAAATTCGTATCGACTGCTCGAGGTGGCATCCCTACATTGCGTTTTATATATTTATTTATGTCTACAGTCCATGCCACACTGCTTACACCTTTACACAAAAAATTCCTTTCAATCAGGATGTAACTACGCACGCAAGGCTGTTTGCAGAGCACGACGGGGAACGCACAATTGTGATTACATGCAGCTTCACTCCGGGCTCCGTTTCCCTGTGTGCCTACAAACTCACTCCCGGTGGTTATGAGTGGGGTCGCCAGAACACGGACAAGGGGAACAACCCGAAGGGATACTTGCCAAGCCACTATGAGCGAGTGCAGATGCTACTCTCCGATCGCTTTTTAGGCTTCTTCATGGTGCCCTCATTGGGCTCTTGGAATTATAATTTTATGGGTACGTCCTATTCATATTCGTCTCCTTTACTTAACGTTTTAAATGCTAGACTAAAAAAAGCATGAACTGCCAACCAGCCCAATAAATATGTGGCGCATAAATAAGCGGGCTTACCCCAAACACCTTATTTCTCAGGCCAATTCCCAATAAGCAAAAAATCGCCATGAGGAGGTCCATTATGATCACAGACTCGAACAGCTGTCTCAGACAGCAATGACTACTGGCGAGGCGCAGGCAGGTTCCTGACAGCGTTAAGTTCCTAACTACAAACACCGAGTTAATCTAATTCCTCCGTTGACCGGGCCTAACTCCTTATATATTAATTTGGTGCCCAAGAGTCCAAGTTTTACGCCAATTTTAAGGACCTGTGTGTTGTGTGCATTATTAGAGGTGATGGGTACCTTCTGTTTGACTGATCGGGCGTGTTCAGGGCAGGCGGACGGCGGACCGCCGGCTGGGTCCATAAACTGTCACTATAAGCAATCTGACGTGCTTAAAGCTATCACAGTACGCCAAAAATCGTGACTTGGAAGGTTGCTAACTGGCGGATTGAGAGTCAGGCCGCAGTAGATCCTGTTTAATGTGGCCTTTAGGGCACTTCCACCCCACGGAATCCAAGGCACGTGTGGCGGCAGGCTTAGAGGCGACTCCGGCCGGGCCATTCGCCTGCGCCTTCTCCGGGTTTCTTGTTTTGGTCATGACATCGGACCCAGGCGAGGGAGTTTGGTAGATAGAACGT